AAAGTATTTCGCTTCTCAGACGATTCCTTACTAAAGAAACACCAGTCCTGAAATAGTTTTAAATAAACGCGTATGTTTATAGTCGCATAGAGAATTGTCAAAACAAACCCACTGATTATTGTATATTCAATATATTATATTTCATTAAAAAATAAGTGAATGTTTAATCAATCTTTGTAAATCAGATAAAGACTCGGTCCTAATTTACATAAACTTTACCTTTGATTCTCGCGCCTTAGACAATGTTTATTTTTAAAATTACTTCGTCAATGAACTCATAAGATAAGATGGGTCGTTATTTAAGCACTTGTATATGAGATAAAGATCGACTGCTCATGTTTTAACTAGTACTTAATAGGCCCAGTAAACTGTAAATATCAAATGCCAAACAAATAATTTACACATTGCATATATGCTTGACAATTATACATCCAACAGACAATTCAAACGTCCATTGGACAAATGCGTAATCCATTGCATCCAATGGACAAAATCAAATGTCCACTGGACATATCTATGTCCATTGGATCCAATGGACAAATCAAATGTCCAGTGGACATATGCATGTCCAATGGATCCATTGGATCCAATGGACCATTGGACATACTGCCTTTGCCATCTCACAGGCCTGCTTACCTGCATGGGGTTGATGCCCATATATGACGTCATTCGAGATAACTTACTTAATGCACAACCAAATGTCCAGTGGACTTATGCCTGTCCATTGGATCCAATGGACAAATCAAATGTCCAGTGGACATCTCTATGTCCATTGGATCCAATGGACAACTGAAATGTCCAATGGACATATGCATGTCCAATGGATCCATTGGATCCAATGGACCATTGGACATACTGCCTTTGCCATCTCACAGGCCTGCTACCTGCATGGGGTTGATGCCCATATATGACGTCATTCCAAATAACTTACTTAATGCACAACCAAATGTCCAGTGGACTTATGCCTGTCCATTGGATCCAATGGACAAATTAAATGTCCAGTGGACATCTCTATGTCCATTGGATCCAATGGACAACTGAAATGTCCACTGGACATATGCATGTCCAATGGATCCATTGGTCCAATGGACCATTGGACATTCTCACATTGCCATCTCACAGGCCTGCTCCTGCATGGGGTCCATGGTCACATATGACGCCATTCCAAATAACTTACTTAATGCACAACCAAATGTCCAGTGGACTTATGCCTGTCCATTGGATCCAATGGACAAATCAAATGTCCACTGGACATTTCAATATGTCCATTGGACATCTTGCAGAGGTATTGGACATTAATCCACTATACCACACCATACCACACAATACCATACCACACCACACCACACCACACCATACCATACCATACCATACCATACCATACCAACCATACCATACCATATCATACCATACCATACCATACCATACCATACCATACCATACCAAACCATACCAAACCACACATACCTATCATCCATACCATCCCACACCATACCATATTACACCATATCATATCACACTATACCACACCATACCACACTATACCATACCACACCATACCATACCATACAACAACATAACAATAATTCATACTGTCCCACACCAATACCATACCACACAATACCACACCATTCCACTTCACTCCATACCATTCCATATCACACCATAACATACCATGCAAATACCACACCGTACCTATCATTCATAACATCCCATACCATCCCACACCATGCCATACCACAGCACACCATACCTATCATACCACACCATACTACACCATGTCACATAAGAAGTAAAGTTGTCGACTTACGCAAGGAAAATATTACCTTTTAAATTTATCTTTTCTGTCTTTAATAGCATCTAATTCAGTGTGATTAAATAATTTACTTATCCTAAAACGTAAAAAAATTCGAAAATATGTCATGATTGCTAATTACTCAGTACTGCAAGCTTGAACATATGCAGAAATCATAAACAAACTAAAGAGAAAATATCTTAAAATGTGAGGACTTTCTTACCTAGTTACTAATCTATCATTTATACAATTCATATTACAAGGCGTAGACACAATTGCAGACATATTTTCATGACAATACTCGATACATTTTGTAACCTGAGTATAGAGAAGAATAGAAAAATATGTGATTACCAACTTGCAAGATATGGTATGGTAATGTTATGGTCTGTATAGTATGGTATGGTATGGTACTGTGCATGTTATGGTGTGGTATGTTATGTTATGGTATGGTGTATATTATGGTATGGTATGGTATGGTGTGGTATGGTATGTTGTGGTATGGTATGGTATGGTATGCTACGGTGTGGAATGTTGTGTGTTATGTTAATATTGTTATGTATGGAGTGGTACATGGTATGGTGAAGCATGGTAAGACTTTATATGGTATGTAGTTGCATTCTGACTAACCAATGAATCCATTCTAAGAAAATCTGATGAGATTAAGATGGAAATTACATTGTTTGGTTCTGAAAAATGAAATAAATGTACAGTCATTATTAACATATATAACAAAGTTTGAATTGAAGACCGAGGTTAGCTTGAGTAAATCAGTCTGATGATGAATTTGCAATAAATTCGAAATACCACTGTTCAGTAATAGGGAGCGGACGACGTGGACGTGTCGAACGTCTACGACGCAGACGTGTCGAATAACTGCCGCTATTATCACAGTTTTGCTTCACGGGTAAAACTTATGGATTGTTGTCGGTAAACAAAGCCAGGGACACGAGAAAAACAAGATGAGACAGTATGCAGGGTGTCTCAAAAAAGCGCAATGGAAATTCAACAGGTTGTCGTGCATCATAAATGTGGCTAAACAATTCAATTTTTACATAGGACGAAAGAACAGTTATTTAGCTTTTCAACGACACTCTTTTTAAATCGTAACGATGAGAAATGGCCACATACTCGTCAAATAAAAATTGCCGGCTGAAATCACATTCTTCCACATAGGAGGGAATGAATGAAAGTTAAATGATCTAAAATGAGCTCAACTCGTCAATCTTCTCTTAGTGAGACAATAATATTAAACATGGTTCAATTAACCACTGAACAGATAACATTCGTAATCAAAACGTTTTACGAAACAAATAGCTTGCAGCAGACTCACGTTGCTTTTGGATTGATTAACTTTCCATGATTAATGTATTTTCAATTCCCAACGGTGGAAGAATTTTATTTCGACCGGCAATTTCTATTTGACGAGTATGTGGCCATTTCTGATCGTTACGACTGACTTAAAAAGATATCATAGAAAAGCTAAATAACAGCTCTTTCGTCCTATGTAAAAATTGAATTGTTTAGCCAAGCTAGTTTATGATGCAGAACAGCCTGTTAAATTTCCATTGCGTTTTTTTAGACACCCTGTATATAACATAAAGCTTACCGCTTACCTAATTTCGGTACTTTGTCATCGTTGTTCGTGACGTCACGTTTGACATATCTCATTAGCCAATCAAATATCTGGACGTCACAATGAACAGAGATATCTACTTCCTCCCAACGTTGTGGTTCCAGTGAGAGATATTCCGCGAAATATTTCATCTCACTGACCAGTAAGTCACGAGGGCACAGGAAATCTTGTTTTACTAAAGGCAAAGATGATAGCCATTGTAAGCCTGCATGGTTTACACCAGGGGCGGCCGGTGCAGGGGCGGGGGTGCGCACGCCCATCTAGTGGTGTCTGGCACCTCCCTAGCAGGGCTCGAATATTATCGCGGCAATCGTGGCAATTGCCGTAGAGGGAGAACAAAAAGCCGTGGATCATTGCGGCAACGACGGCAATTTTTTGCCGTATAGTGCAACTTTTATACTATTCACTCTGCAATGCTTTACTATTTTGATACTTGAATTCAGAAGATGATCAAATCATGCGTAAATCACTATTTTAGTCTCAGTTTTCTTCGAAAAAAAAAACATTAAAGAAATATACGTAGACATGTTTCTAGCTTGTCAAAAATCCAAAGTAACAACAAAATTAAAGTTTTATTACAGTAATTTGAAAAATGCTGTGGAAACTGTCAAAATTGCCTTAGACAGCTGTTACGTTCTACGGCAATTTTTAGCGCCAATTAGCGGAACTTCTACTGTTAGCGCGTGTCGATTTCTTGAAACGATTTAATTGATTTGTGAGCTCACAACATAATACTCAGAAAGCTTTAGTTAAATAATCGTGGTTAAATATTTAAACATGCCGAGGTTGTTATACAGCCATATTTTGAAATATATTGTACTTGAATAAGCAAATTTACTCTACTTGGCTACGGCAACTGTCCAGTCACGCATACGTGATAAAAAGATGATATAAACTTTATAAACGAAATTTAAATGTAAAACGTTTAAGAACGGCGAACATGCAGATTCGGCCATCTCAAATAATGGTAATGTTGGGATAGTAGCGTTGCAGACTGCAGAGGAGAGTGGGCAGTAAGGCTCCCTCATGCACCACCCCCATGGAAAACCTGCACCCCTCCTTGCAAATGAGGCTAGATCCGCCACTGGTTTACAAAACCCCAATTCGCCTCAGGATAAGCAGGGGGAGATAAAAGAACCATTTTAATTTCCAATTTTGTTGCAGTACTTACAATTCTTGCTTTCATCACAGACATGAATAACCATGTTAGGCCTGATGTAAGAATTAAAAAAAAATTTACACAATGTGAATGATTAACACTCGTAGTTATAGAAGGTTTAACCTATTGAGCACCAGTGCTCTCCTCTTGAAGAATAAGATTGTTTCTGACTCTGTCATTGATAATAGGTAGTCTGATAAACCCATTGAGCGCCAGAGTAAAATCGTCTGGCATTAGACAAAGTAAAATCATCTGGCATTAGACAGAGCAAAATCATCCTGCACAGCATTTGACAGCTGAGTAAAATCATCTGGCATTAGACAGAGTTGGTAATAAAAATAGGGTGCATTAAGGTGCAATGCAACTTAATGGGTTAAACTATATTAATATTTACCCTTCAGGTGATTGTGGCTTTGGTTTTAATTTCTTATTCACCATCAGAGAATCTTTTTCCTTTTTCTGTTCGCCAGAATTTTCCGTTTTTGTTGTTTTACTGTTGTAAAATAAATGTCGAGATTAAGTTAACTAAAATAACTAGTTAATATCAATGATTAATATATTTATTAACTGCAATTCAAATATTTACACTTAACTAAGAAAAAAGGTACCTTGAAACATCTGTTGTTTTACACAAAAGTTGAATTCAAAATGACATACAAAAGAAAATATGCAATACAATCAGTAGACAATAAAGGGGAAATTTAATAATTATTTTTTCTGACTTTCTTCCAATTCGAAATTTGCTGATTAAACCATTGAGTAAGTGGCAGCACTCTCCCCTTGTAAAATCATCTGGTGTTAGACAGAATACTTAGGTAGGGAGCACTGGAGTACATGCACAATGCTATTTTAAAGGGTTATAAACATAGGCAGAAATAAGCCCCGTTTACACTACGCTCAATTTTTGGTACGGCACGGATAAAATTGGTACCCGTACCACTTTTTTGGTTCTTGAACTACCGTACCTATTTAGGTAGTCCAAGAACCAAAAAGTGGTACGGTACCAAAAATTGAGCGTAGTGTAAACGGGGCTTAGCTAAATAGGTAGTCCAAGAACCAAAAAAGTGGTACATGCAGGTACCAATTTTATCTGTGCCGTACCAAAAATTGAGCGTAGTGTAAACAGGGCTATAGTCTCACTGATTAACCCAATTGAGTGGCAGCACTCTCCCCTGATTAATAAAATTGTTTGGCATTTGACAGAGTGAAATTAATAAAATAGGGAGCATCAGGGCACATTGCCACTTAAATAAAGGATTAAAACTAAATCTAGTTGTGTGCAATATATATATTATGTGAAAAGAACTAAATGAAGTGTGGTGTATGACTATATATAATCGATATCATTCATCAAACATTTGCACAAGTTTTATTCTTAAAATGGCAGAGTACTGTTTCATCTCACAGACTTGGGGTGAACAGGTTTCAGATCAGGTTTTGGATTATACTATATAGTGAATGAATCCACAGAAGTTAGACTTGCCTTGTTCAGAAGCTTTTTCTGTCAAATAAACAACTTGATTGTTAGAATCCTCATTGTTTCCATCCTCTTCAATGACATGTACTTCATCCTGACTCTCGTCCGACTCTCTCTTGTGCAGTAAGAAATCAACAATGCTGTCTAGATCACTGTTTGCTCTTGTAGAACTTGATAGTGTATGACTAGGTTTGATTAGCAAATTCTGATGGCAGAGTTCATCCCACTTTCTCGCACACTGTAAGATTTGACGTATAATTGTATAGAACATAATAAATCACACATTCAGAAATGTTTTCAGAGAATTTTTATGTACACCCACATAGGCGTACGGGACGGGGCGGCAGAGGGGGCAGTTGCCCCCCCAAAAAGATTACAAAGTCGAAAATTCAGGCAAATGTTCAACAAAAGTCGGGCAAAAGTCCGGCAAAAAGTAGTAAAAGCAATAAAATCTCTCTTAATAATAATCCCAGTTTGTTGGGCAAACAAAGGCAGTTTGGCAATATTCGCTTAACAGTCGGGCAATATTGGGTTATTATAAAATAAAATGGGACAAATTGTGTAAATTTTGCGGAAAATTATGGCGATTTTCGGGAAAATTTGTTTGATGTTCCGAAAAATTTTGGTATGTCGGAAAAAATTTTTGGACCCCTAAAATTGTACACTGACTGAAATTTTTTTGGTGACGGGGGGGGGAGGGGGGGGAGGTCGCAAAAATTAATTGTTCCGGAAAAAAAAATTTCAGCACATGTCGGGCACAATCCGAAAAATTCGGGCAAATTTCTTTCTGCCCCCCTAATTTTCTCCCGTCCCGTACGCCTATGTACACCCACAGTTTATACGTACAAGAATTGGGTTAAACACATTGATTTTCTAAGACATGGACAAAATGAAATCAACAAATTGTCCATCTTTCAATGTCAAACAATTTCAAAAAATAATTTTTAAACATAATATTCTATAGTTGGCCACAGGTTTAAATTCAGAGAAAGATGGCCAATTTACATGAGATTTCCTTCAAATTTTCAAGTTGCAAATCTTCAGTGTAACAAATTCGCAGACTAGAAATTTTGTAGTGTGCAGAGAATTTCTTCCACATCTGTGCCAAAAACATAAAAATATACTCTGTGCCATGCGCTGTTCAAATTCTTTTTTTGGGGGGGGGCTCGATCAATCTGTGCTGTAATAAGTGCGAAATATAAATATGTGACAATTAAGACGTGCACATGGTTATTGTTAGGAGCCATGTCCATATTCATGTTGCCACACATAACGTCGAATTGACGTTATCACCAGCACCCACCCACCTCAGATAACGTCGATCATTAACCTGTCGTATTTTGACTGCTGCAAGAGCTCAAAATCAAAATGGCAACTGAAATATGGTATATAATCAATCAATTTATCTCAAAAATGCATTAAAATGCTGAGACTTCAATTCAAAGTTATTGACTGAGAGAGTTTATAGAAGAGAAGTTTATAGAAAAATATTGCGAGTTGTGAACACAAATTGACAGGAATTTGACACGTAAAAAACGTCGCTTCAATACTTCAACCTTTGTTTTGCATGACGGCTGTTAGTTGAAAACATTAAATATCTAAACTTCGATCTGTTCGGATGTACAGTAAATAGTCAAATTGCCACAAGATAACGTCGAGGAGTTGACGTAAATACCCACCCATAACGTCATTCGACGTTATGCGTGGCAACACGAATATGGACGTGGCCCCTTAGTTTGAATTTAGCCTGCGAACAGGCTCTCAAGCTGAATTGAGAGCCTGCATCGATGACTAATGAATTTGAATATCTGCCCCGTAACGTTCATTTTTCTAAATATGGAATGTCTATCCTTATATGGTGTTGTTTACAACTTTCGTGCAAACTAAATTTAGACCGTACATTTTATGCTGTTTTTCGAAATATAAGATATTCAAGCAAAAGTTCAAATGTTTTAAATACTGTTTTCTCAAAACAGAACATTTTGTGCCTTGATATAAGACGGCCAAGACCAATTTGATCAGTTAATGTGTTTTTTATGCATAGTGCTTAGCAGTTGACATATATAGAGCTCAGCGGAAACATATAAATTATAGCATCTGAACAATGAGAATTTCGCGTCACGATTTGAGACGCAGATATTCGAATTCATTAGTCATCGATGCAGGCTCTCAATTCAGCTTGAGAGCCTGTTCGCAGGCTAGTTTGAATTCCAATCACTGGTCATCTGTGGAAATATTGGTCTTCTTTAAATATATATATGAGCACTCAAAAATATCGTCAATTTTTCTTCTCCGTACCATTTGCCAAGATTCCAGTCTAGGCTGTTTAAAATTTCCTTCGAGTGGGTTTTGCATGCTCGATACAGCAATACCAGTCAACAATTGGCTAATAGATTAATTGATTAATTGACAGTTAAATTTGGTATTGATTTATTTTAAAGTATGATTTTCATCATATTATTTTCAATCCTGAATCCTGCAAGTTTCAGTTAGCTAGATTTTCAAATGTACATGTATGAATATATATGTAAACTAAACTGCTATTAATTATGTTTCAACAAACCTGTTTTGGTGTTGCACCTGGAATCAACTTTGCAATAGCAACCCAATCTTTTTCATCAGCACTTGAATTTACAAACTTCGTTGAGCTTAGAAGCGATTTTAGGACTAATTCCAGTGCCATTTCAACAAGATAACAAATTCGCACACATCTTTACATCACTATCTTTTTATAGCACCTTTCTGCAATGAAAAAGCATTGAGAATTGCGAAAATTTAATTGAATTCGTACGAAAATGATTCTCCCAAATTTTTCGCCATATTTTATTTATGCAAGTTGCCAAGGACAGAGTTAATTTATGCTAGTTCCAGTCTTCAGAGATAAAACACCAGATTACCGTCGTTTGCACCTAAGCTTGAACAGTTGCAGATATAAAACTCCCATGCAACTTTACAGTAATATTTGTATGAACAAACATTTGAAGATTTAGTGCAGCCAATAAATGTAAACACCATACCCTCTAAACCTACCCCTAACGCTATATATTAATTCAATATGATAGTCAATCATGCCTTGTCGTGTAGGCAAGGGTTTTGAATATGTCACAAACTAAAATAGCCGAAGTAAACTAAATTTTGAACCATATTTACTATCCAAAGAATAGTGAATCAAAATAAAGCAGAATTCTGTCTTATATTTATAGTATATAAAGTTCAATATCAATATACTTCCGGTACATTGGGGTGTGCCTGAGGCACATCTGAGGTGTGTCTGAGTATCTATGGTCTGAGGTGTGTGCAGCAGTCCAGTTAATTACAGATCAGTGATTTGTTTACGTTTTGATATTTTGAATATTTCAAATTGCTGCCAAACCAGAAAAAGACAGGTTTTTCTACTGAAAATGATGCATAATAATTATCAATTTTCCTTTGCCAAAGAAATAAAATGCGTTATTCAATTGCCAAAACTACTCGCTTGGATACGAAGGTTAAAATCCCGAGATCGGCATAGGAAAAAAAATGTTACGATTGAAGCTTACACAATTCTTGAAAGTTGAAACTAACGTGCATATTTTGACACGATTTCGTTGCGTGTTTCTTGAAAGTGACAGGACAGCAGAGCGCCCAAATAATGAAGAAATAGATAATTATAAACTGCAATTCAATGATGGTCGACTGTCAACTGAAACTAAATCAATTTCCGATATACTACGGGCGCTCGTCATATTGAAATTGTGTACAATTGATACAATAGTTGATAATAGTGAAAAGGTAGGTACAATATACATGTTTTGTTTTTATACAAATAATTTGTTGACACATGTATTTAATAGTTGATCTAGCATGTTTATTATACTGACACGAGTTAGTATCAGCTTACAAAACGTTCAGACGAACCAGATAAAATATATGTACACTGGCTGTGGTTCTGTTAACAAATTTTGCCTGATATTAGGTTTATGTATCAATCTATAAGACACCGAGGAGGGATTTATGTCAGATAACGACCATTTATTAAATATATGAGCCAAGGACACACAGCGTCCGAGGGCATTATCTGACATAAATTAGTTCAAGGTGCATGTTTATCATATTTAATTCATGGTTGAGGAAGTTGGAAATTTTACACTTTACCCAGGAGGTTTTCCAACAAAGTGTGAATGTTTTGTCTGTTTCGTCTGCTTTGAATGACGATTTTCTGAGTTTTCCTTTATCTTTTCAGCTAATTAATATTCAAGGTGATAATCATCATTATTAATTATCGTAAAAATAATTATCATTATTATAAATAATCATCATTATTATTCATCATTATTAAAAATAATCACTTCGGTACATCGAAGAAAACCGTCTCGATCATGAAAGCCTGATATTTATACTCTGTTTTGTATCCAGCTGGCTTTTTGTTCGAAAATGGAATGACCCATTATTCTACTCTGTCTAATGCCAGACAGTTTTATTCATCAAGTGGAGAGCGATGGCCTACCCCCAATCAGAGCAATTTTGAAATGTTAAACCAGTTTAACCGTTTATTTACAGTTAGTGGCGTGGTGCAAAGGTATATTTGGTACACAATTTTATGAGAAGATAATCAAGGCAACAATTTATAAACAATTTGTTGCAGGCGAGACTGAACAGGATGTCAAATTCATTGCATCGAATTTGCAAAAATTTAACATTAACTGTATGTTTTGTGTCCCGACTGAAGATGTGTCGAGTGATAATTTGTTCATGAATGCACACGACGTGTAAGTTAAATAGTTTTTTTCATTATTTTGGGCGATTTCCCACATAAATGGCTACAAAATCACATTTACAATAACTTTGCATCAATGAGAGTTTAGGATCAGGATTAGTGTGTGGTTATGGATTTAGGATCAAGTTCTAGAATCAGGTTTAGGATATGGAATAAGTTAGGGCAAACAATCCTCTGATAAATGATCATCACAGAGTTAATATAGGATCAACAACTTATTTTATATATTTACTTGAAATTTGTATTGCCTTATTATGTTAGAGAGGATCTCTACAAGACCAATTTAAACTTGATGTTAGGCTGTGTGGATTTGACAGGTACAATTTTTCATTTGGGTGGGGCCCGAGACAAAATGTTCCAAAGGGGGGCCTATAACATCAAATGATCAATCATAATTGTAAAAGGGGAGAAGCAGCATTTCCAGCCTTCAAGTCTCTATTGAATTAGCTTCATTTTTATATAGTGTCTATCCAGTGTGTTATGAGTTCTGTTCACAGCTTATCTCATAACAGACTGGATAGACCCTATGGAGCAGGTATACTTTATACTGCAGTAAAACTGGGCATATATAATGTCAATATTAAATGGCAGATGAACCTTGTTAATGTATAACAGTATATACCTCCACAGTTGAGATTTGCTATTTTTATTGTTATTTCAACATAACATACATAACTGTAATTCCTGTTTAGCTTCTCTTGGTTGCTACGCGCAGTCAAAAATCACTCCTGTCATCAGTTCCGATGTCATGGTAAGAACATATTGGACTTTCAAGATTCCTTCCCTGTTCAGGCCTACTCATAGACAGACTTGACCACCAATGGCATTGAAAGCAGTTAATCTGTGGAGTCTATTAAGAACATGTCAGAATGAAATCATCACATGCATCCACTATACTAGTAATGGTAGTATGTGTGAATCTCTAATTCATTTCTGCCTAAATATATTTACGCGGTTCAATGTTACGTACAAAACAGTCTCTTTATGTACTTGTAAAAAGGACTTATTGCCTATACTCAGTATACTATTAATATACCGATATTTTTTGTTTCTCAACTGTTAGGAATTTAGTTTATGCGGTTACCGCTTCAAAAACTCATTAATAATTCATGAGGAACTGAAACACAAAGAATCATAAGCGTGTCGTATATCTTTATATGTGATAGAGATTTCCTAGTAGATATAACTTTAACTTTGATTTCTCGACTTACACAACGTATTTTTTTGAAAATTACTTCGCCAATGAACTTACTAGATCGATCGTTTTTGAAGCAATTTAAAACATTCGCAGTGCGTGTTTTTTTTTCAGACCAAAAGCGTACTCGCGGTTTCACCTTGTATCTTTATATCTGACAAAACACTGCTGCTCATGTTTTTAACAGCACATGTTAAAAACGTTGAACTGGAAGGGTAGTCCATAGTTATACTGGATACATTTGTCAGTTTTGTAAAGTTATTGTATTTGTACTTTAATTGCATACCAGCACGACGTGGCAGATTTGCTATCCGATCACATAGTCAGTCATGAAAGTCGTCCATCTGAACTAAGTGTCGCAACCTGGTCTAACGCACTTGATGGAACTGAGGTATAATGTTGCAAAATAAATTATTAATATTGACCAATGCTTCAGACTTTTTTGAGTTAAGGTATACACGTAAAAACGCACCAGTTGCAACGAACCTGCAGCAGACGTGTAGCAATGCTGTTCCAACAACTTAATTGTCAACAGGATGTGTTCGCACTGCTTGTTCCCAGCTTGTCGGCAAGTTGTCAACGGCATGTTAACAACTTGAGCTCAACAGACTTGTTACAAGTTGTGAGTGACAACCTTGTAGCAACTTGACGAAATAACAGCATTGTTACAAGTTGCTGACAAGCTTGTTACAACAAGCCTGTTGCGGACACATCTTGTTGACAGCGTGTGTAGATCAATTTTTTTTTACTTCTCCCCTGTTTTGCTATAACAAATCAAGAATATTTTATTCTTTATGCTATTTAGGCCAATTTGCTTCCTGAATGCCCCAATGCATCGAACAAACACCTCAAGAAAGCTTTAAAAAGATTGGATATTTTAGCCAACGTACGTATATTAAACACTGCTTCCTTTTTGTTGCGAAAATTGAACCCCTACTAAACGTATAACCTTTCGGATATCACAATTCACAAATGTGTCCGCTTAAAAGAGGTGTCTACTTAATAGGAGTTATACGCCCGTATTTTAAAAGCTGTTTAAAGCTCACTCACACTCAATAAGTGGAAGTCAATCTGAGCTTCTCTCGAGTGTCATTGCTGTTTTGGAATAGCTGGAGGGTTAGTGTCGTACCTTACTATGTGTGACTACTCACCCTCCAGCTATTCAAAAACAGCATTGACACTCAAGAGAAGTTCAGATTGAACCTCCAGTCATTGAGTGTGAGTGAGCTTTTAGAATACAGGCAATAATCCTTTCTTTTATCCTCCTATTTAACACAATTTTAAACCACATGCAATATTAAAGGCATATGTATTTTCATTCCAGAGAGCTCAAGGACAAGGCGTGAAATTGATGTTAGATGCAGAATATACCTACCTTCAAGCTAGCATTGATTTAATCATCTTGGCTTTACAACAGAAATATAACAGACACATTCCCGTTATATACAACACCTATCAATGTTACAGAAAGGTAGAGAGAATGCAAGCTTGTATCTCGTTGGACCTCTATAGGGAGAACAGTTTAGAACTGATAGAGCTATCCAATATAAATAAAGTTAGTTTAGTTTAGGTACCCTTCTGTACTAACACTGGATCAATACGAGATGATTCCTACTGGGCCTTCAGGAAGAACAGTTCAGAACTGATAGAGCCATCCAGTATAAATAAAGTTAGTTTAGTTTAAGTTCCCTCCTGTAATAACACTGGACCAAGAGTGATATGGCTCTTACTGGACGTCTAGGGATAAAAGTTTAGAATTGATGAAGCTATCCAGTCTATAAAATAATTTAATCCTGCAACAGCAGTTGAATTTCATCTTAAACAGGATACACCAGCGAGAATTCAAAGTGACATAGAGCTTGCTCAAAAGCATAACTTCAAGATTGCTTGCAAGCTAGTTCGTGGAGCTTACATGGAGTATGAACGACAGAGGGCCGCTGAGCATGGCTATGAAGATCCTATCTGTGACACTATTGAAGATACCGAACGAAATTATAAACATGTAAGGAATTACAGTTGAGCCTCTTCTGGCAGACATCTCTCTAATACGAACACCTCTCTAATACGGACACCTAGCTCTCTAATACGAACAACTCTCTAATACAGACACCTCTCTAATACGTTCAGACATCTCTCTAATATGGACATCTCTCTAATACGGACATCTATCTAATACCGACATCTCTCTAATACGTCCGGACATCTCCCTAATACAGACACCTCCATAATACGAACATCTCTCTAATACAGACACCTCTCTAATATGGCCACCTCTCTAATACGGACACCTCTCTAATGCGATCAACTCTTTAATACGGACATCTCTCTAATACAGCCACCTCTAATACAGACAACTCTATAATATGAACATCTCTCTAATACAGACACCTCTCTAATACAGACACCTCTCTAATATGGACACCTCTCTAATACGGACGTCACTCTAATACAGACACCTCTTTAATATCGAGGCCTCTAATATAGAAACCTCTCTAATACGGACACCTATCTAATACGAACATCTCTCTAATACGGACATCACTCTAATACAGACACCTCTCTAATATGGATACCTCTCTCTAATACTGACACGCTCTAATACGGACATCTCTAATACGGACACCTCTCTAATACAGACACCTCTCCAATACAGACACCTCTCCAATACAGAGACCTCTCTAATTCAGAGACCTCTCTAATACAGGCACCTCCCTAATACGGACATCTCTCTAATACGGATACCCTCTAATACGGAAACTTCTCTAATACGGACATCTCTCTGATATGGATATTAGGGAATGTTAAAGTCAATGCTTTGCTTTTCTATGGCAGGCGATGGACTTAATGTTGTCACAAGTGGCCCAAGGTCAAGCTGAAGTGATGATTGCGACACACAATGAAGACTGTGTTAAATATGGCGTTAAAAGAATGCACGAAATTGGAATTAAACCTGACGATGGTTCCGTTTTGTTCGCTCAACTTTATGGCATGTGTGATCATGTTAGTTATGCCTTAGGTAAGATTTGACATTCGCACCAAGAATTACTGTTCTTAGTCATGTTTTTAGTATAGTGGTCATTATTAGCATGTCATAGCTCGGCCAATCAGCACCTTGCGCTAGGTCACGAGAATGCTACGGGACTAAAGCCGCAGACGAGCGCATACGTTTCCTTGACAAGTTTTATCTGCCCGCGTGTATAGGGCAAAAAATTGACAAATATTCCTTGCCAAGGAGTCTTGTTCCCAAGCTAGTCATGCCAGGTTTTGGACAAAGAAAATTTGTTCGTGTGTACGGCCGCCAAGGAAAACTTGACAAGTGTACAAGAAATACTTCTGTGGTTTGGCGAACAAACTGCAACGCTTTGACGTGATATCAATGCTAACAACATTCCGTGCACACAAGCAACAAAACTTGAGAGAACACCTATTGGTTCTTACTTGAATTGGTTCTTACTCGAGTGTGGAGTTGGGAATGACCTGCTTTGCGCGCACTGTTTGCCTGCGAGTCGGTCCTTTCAGAACTGGAAATCGGGCTGGAGCACGCGTTCGTTCTTTTTGATTTGGAAAAAAAAGCACGACAAATGGCAAAATTCGCACGGTGCCCGTTTGCAAAAACAACTGGAAATTGCTGCAATTCGTTCTGTCACTTTCATTTGATCTTATCCGCGAGTCCGGCCTTTGACTTCCCCTCCTGGCTAACACCCTGGACATGCCTGTAAGTGGCATGCCAAAACAATGAAAAGACATTGAAACTTTTTAATCACTTAATCCGTGACTGGATGGCTCATTGAGCAAAGTTTCATATTTTTTCCAGGTAAAGCAGGTTACATAGTACACAAGTCTGTCCCTTATGGCACGGTGGATAGTTCAATTCTCTACCTTTTACGGCGGGCACAAGAAAATAAATCCGTGATGGCTAGGACAGCCAAGGAAAGTGGAATACTACTTAACGAAATGAAACGTCGATTGTGGACTTCGTTTGGGCATGCTTAGTTCGACCCTTAGAAAAATTATTTTATAAAACTACAAGTTTTTTGGCTTCTCATTGGCTGAACATCATAGAAATAATAGATATAGAATACGCACTTGATCACGGATCATGTCTCCACTTTTTCTCATGCGTGCCCTTATAAATCTACCAAACTTCTTTTTTTTCATTTTAAGTCTCGATATAAAACTTTTTCCAAACTTTGCAGTTGAAAAAACACAATTCGCACTCTGTGCAACCGCGCGAAATTCCTTGCCTCAGGAGTCTGCGACCAACCAAAATGCCCTTATAAATCTGCCATTTTGTGGAGACATTTACATTTTTTTACTGAGAAAATATAGGAGTACGCATTCTATATCTATTATTTCTATGCTGAACATCTACGGGTAGAATTGTATATTAGTAATAAATTAAAATAATAGATGAATCTTATTTATCCCTGGGCAAACTTAAGCCCTGGGCAAACTAGGAAACATTGTTGCGGAAACATTGTTTCCTACCAATGTTTCGCCATGTTTCCAAGAGAGGGCAAACACTAGGAAACAGTGGCGGCGCCAGGGGGGGGGCAAATGCCCCCCCAAAATTATTTTTTGCCCCCCCCCCATTTTGCCCCCCCTCAAAAAAATTATTAGTCACTAAGAGCGACTAAAGGCTACACAAGCGTTCTATCGTTATCGGAAAATGTATGGCGTATAAGTTGTCATTACTCATTAGTGAATGCGCGTATACATGAAACTGTTTTTTACAGTTTCAATATTAGTTTGTAAATCTCTGAATGGTAAAACTTGCCAATACTCCAATAATACGTTTCAACAAAAGACAAAAAAGCTTTAGTTTTGCAGAGTTAAATTCTCAAACGTGTAAGGCATGATAAGATGAAAGTATCACGAAATTATTTGAATAAACCACATCGCATATATGGGGGGCGAATGTCCTAAAGAGGGGCGATATTCCTAGGGTATTCGCCCCACCCCCCTGGGAGGCGATATTCCTAGGATATTCGCCCCCGGGGGCGATATTCCTAGGAATATAGCCACGTTTTGAAGGGGGGGGGGCGAATTTCCTGGGGGGGGCGACCTTTTTAAAAATTCTATCTTGCCCCCCAAAAATTTGAGTTTGCCCCTCAAATGCCCCCCCAAATTTGGAAGCCTGGCGCCGCCACTGCTAGGAAACATCAGTGAAAAACATAGGGAAACATCATATGTTTCTGAATTTGCTAGGACACATTTTTGCTTCCCAGGAAGCAAATTTTGTTTCCGCAACAATGTTTCCACGGGTGGGCAAACATAGAAACATTTGAGGAAACATCGAGAATCACAAATGTTTCCGCAACAATGTTTCCTAGTTTGCCCAGGGCTCAAGGAAAAATTTGTGATGATGCTCTCCGAGTATATTTCACACTGGGCGAACTGAAGTGTTTCCAAACAAATTCAGAAACAAATTTCGTTTCCCAAATCACTGTTTTGGTTGTGGATACCAAGATTTGCCCACCTTGCAAAACATAGCTAAGAAACAATGTTTCTGGTGTTTCCTCGTTTTGCCCATCTTCAGGAAACATGGCTAGGAAAAAATATTTCCTGGTTTGCCCACATTCAGGAAACATGGCTAGGAAACAACATTTCTTGGTTTACGCGACAATTTAAATCAATTGTAATAGTCTTGTTAGGCTTTTAAAAATTGTTGTATTATGTGTAATACTGAAAACAGTAAAGCTATATTCTAGTCGAGACAGCAATTTAACACATTGGCTTTTATTGTCAATGTCGTATAGATAAGAGGAATAATGTAGCTATCTATGTCGTTGAATATTGTTGTTCATTTTTTGTACATGCAGTACATTAGTACATGCAGTACATTACTATATTTAATGTATCTACATAATATAGTATATTATAATAAATATAGTATATTTAAGTAGATTTATAATATACTTATTTTATACCAAATATATGTTGTTATGAAATATATTGTATATATATTATCCGTTTAAAAAACCGTTCATTAAATAATAGATATCTGCATGCTATTACATTTAGAACCAACAAATATATCGAAAAAAAAAACTAAATATGAAATATACTATACGTCAACTCTACTTCCTAGACCTTGTAGATTTTAAATAGAATTATTTTGCAATATATATATATATATATATATATATATATATATATATATATATATATATATATATATATATATTATATATATCAAAATTTTGTAAATTTTGAAAGCTAATCTATAGCTCTTTCTCTTTCTAGTCTCGTAAAAAATCCATTTTAGTTGATTTGGAAATTCTCCAGATTTTTTTCCAAAATCTCCAGATTTCTTCTGAGTTGTGGATTTTTCTCAAACTATACCGCTCAACGGTAAATTTAAATTGATATCCAGTAGCTGCTATCCGGCCTCAGTTTTACCACTTATCTTGTATAGCCAAAGGCCCAAAACACCTCTTACCATGGAGTGATACTCGTCGAATTAATTAAATTTCCTGATTCAACCCGATAACTCCACGCCTCAGCTCACAGTAGCTTTGTAAGGGTTATAGAACAGTTCTCCTTCTCTGCCTCGCCTTTTCAATTCGTTCCAAAGTAGTTTCCGTTCTTTTAATACTCCTGCAAGTAGGCCGCGGTTCTCGGCAGCTCGTCGGGAGAGGTACGGCAACACATCGGAAACGGATCCGTAAGGAACATACTTGAATGCCTTATAACCTGTCTGACCTGGAAATTATACCAACGATATTAATACACGCTTCCAGAAAGTACGCCAAAGTGATCGAGACGTTGGGTTTTGACTATTGGAGACCTTAGGGACCGTTCATTATTTACACCCGGGGTTGGTACCGAAGAGATATGGGTTGGGTAATCAAGTTTTTGACTAGCTCATGGGTTGGGTAAAAAAAAATTGTGGCTGTCTGTCAGCTATAAAATAAAACCGAAATTACCATGCATTGGAAAATATGAAGAAAAATGTGCACAATACATTCTGTACCAAAGTAGACTATCAGTGATTGAGGAGGGACTCTATTATTGATCAGCAGGAACGTGGTTCCATTGGCACACTCAGTGAGTTTGAGTCTGAGTGAGCTTTTAAAATTTAGGCAACTTGATTTCTGTTACCATATAATCTTGTGTGTTTAATTATTAAGTACAGTAACACATGGGTTGGGTAAACATTATTTTGACCAATGTTGAGGTTGGGTAAATAAAAAAATTACAGTGTTTTTCGCTTCTCTTCGGTACCAACCCCAGGTATAAATAATGAACGGTCCCTTACAATCTTAGGACGGCAACGGCTACCAATACAATAGATCATTGAAAAGAATTGAATAATTACAATATATGAATAATTTAGACATTGTCCTCGCTCTGTTTACAACGCCAAATCAGTGAAATCACAGATTTTTACGTCTTGATACAACGGCTGCATTTCAAGCCGCAACAAGTGCAACTTCAAACTGGGTTCAGCAGAACTGTTCCCAGCCATAAAACCCATCTCTTCAACTTCTAAGACTGTATTAAATCCATACGATTGATAATATACAACGAATTGTCCTTACTACCATCTATTTCAAGGAGTTTGTTTTGGCCGTCGCGTTGCCGTCCTAAAATCGTAAGGTCTCTAATATCATGTACACAAACGCGAGGCCCAAGTCAAGTGACGCACTTTTATAATATTTCATAGTACCACATTAATTGCATTGCAATATTTCTAAACTAATTATAATAACAAACTATTTACTCATCCTCGTCTCCAGGCCCAAGCTCGCACGGCCTGGGGACGAGAACGGGCAATACTCACCTAAGACAAACGAAACTTGGTCACACATCCCCAGCAGCTGAGCAAAATACACCCCACCTTTATCCCGAGGAATTGACAGTTCACGCATTCTGGGGAAAATTACAACGATGTTAAACTAGGCTTCACGAACTTGTGGAAAGTGAGATAAAAATACCTTTGCAATGTGAAAACAACTGAATCCTCATTGTGACTAGCGACCACAATATTCGCTCCAGACCTCTTCACCTCCTCAAGGATACTACTGACAACCTTGTTATAGTTATCACATGTTGCCTGATAATTAGGGTGTATTGGATCTTCATAGTTCATCGCCTGAGCGCGGGCCTTCTCCTGTTCCATATAAGCTCCACGTACGATTTTCGCGCCAAACCTGAAGCCTTCCCGCCGAGCTAACTCCATGTCTGTTTCCACAGAGTTATATGCGTCCTGTGGCAGAAATACTATAAATGTGAACTTTATTTCTACTTGAACCATTGAAATGAATATAACTGGAACGCCACCTTCAGATAAATTGCCTATCTTTTTCTTGAAGCCAAATCTTGACCCCTATAGACACGCGTGCTTATATCATGATTGACTGATTGAGCGCTCTTCGCAAGCGCAAAAAGACTGGGACTTGGCTTCAAATTACCAGTTGGAGGTAGCGTTCCAGTTCTACTCATTTCAACGACTTGAACTAACTATAGTCAAAGCTCGCTAACTCGAACTCCCTAAAGCCTGTTTTCCAGTAGGCGGAATTTTGCGCGCGGAGCGGAATTTTTCTTTGTCTTGTGATTTCTCGGGTGGAACTAATTAGAAAAGACAAAGAAAAATTCCGCTACGCGCGCAAAATTCCGCCTAGTGGAAAACAGGCTTAAGGGAGCGAAAAATTGTTCGAGCCCAGGGTCTCGGGGTCTGTGTTGGATTTCGTTGATTATGTTTAATAAAGTATAGCAATTAAGGTACACTCTAAAGAACTTACAAAGTTTCTACTGCTGTTACCTAAGTTAAACCATCTATCACAGTACCTACTAACAGTACCTATAAGCTATATCAGTGATGATGGACGCAACTTGTTGAATCTTTTCTCTCTTCATCCACTTGTATTACGTTTGTATATATTATATACAGATTAAATTGTTGTTTTCTGAATAGAAATCCAACCTTCGGACTTGCCAATGTGCATATGTTCTGACAATTTATGCTTTGCCGATTCACGTCTCAAGAATAGAATTCAGGTTAACCGGGAAAATTTTGGACCAAGAGAAAATGAAATTTAGTTGAGTGAACTAGTAGTTCGAGTCAAGCGAGTCTGAGTTAACCGCAACAAGTTGGTCAGGGGAATTGGATTTAGTTCGAGTTAGCGGGGTTCTACTGTATATTTATATTGGATAGTTTTATAAGATCTATAAACTCTTCTCCCTGGAGGTCCCCTGGGTTCACTCTTTTCAAAAGCAGAGTGACAACTGATACATGCACCAACCTTCAAGTAGCATTGATAGGTGTTCAAAATGATTGGTTTTTCTTTGTTGTACAATCTCTGCATGTCCAATGTAAGTCTGCTAATGGCAGGTTGGAAATACGTCTGTTCAGCGTCCACCATCAGTCGGACATTCTGTTCCATAGCTCTCTGTTTTAAGACAAATATACCAAGGATGGATTTACTTGGGGGTGCGGAAGGGAGGGGGGGGGGGATGCGCACACCTCCTAGTGTTAGCAAAGGGGAGCGCAAGGGGGACTCCAAATCCCTTATCGAATCCTTTTTTACATGGAATAAAGGTAATTACAAAAACAAAAGTATAATAGAGACAAAATGAGACAGTACCATGGTTGTGAAATTGTCAATAATAAAAATTTTAATTATAGATGGTAATTATACATCACTAATAAAATTCATGAATAATTAATAAGGCTACAAACAAATCATGACGCGGTATTTAGGTCACATGTGCACACTTGTAAACCGCATTAAAGATCAGAAAGTCATGTTAGAGGGATGTTTATGAAAGTTATGAATATTAATTCAGAAGCAGGACGATTCAATAGAATCAAAACGCACGCATCACTAGATTTACGCTGCATAAATGCATGCTAATGAATCGCGAGATTGTCCTCATGATGGACAGTCAATAATAATAATGTAATTAGCAAATAAATTAATTTGACAACTTCGTTAAAATATTCGCAACTGATTTTATGGATGCCCGTAAAGATCAGCTGCTCACATTTTAACTAGTATTTACAGTAGTGAAGACCAGAGTATTCTACCTATAATTGCCCTCCAATCAATGATGCTGCATCATACTAAACAGTCTAAACACCTTACAAGTCAGTCTCTTACGTCAGACGATTTTACTCGCCAAGGGAAGATTCTTGGATATTAGTATTTTTTGCACAAGTGAATATAACAAATCCTGTAAGTTGGTTGGTCAAATTTGACGTATTTTAATACAGGCTTAAAAGCTGTTATATTCACAAAACGAAATTTTCAAAATGGCGGCTAGCCGTTTTGTGGAAGCTACTGATAAAGAAATAAGCTAAATTAAAATATATTCAGTCCCAAAAAAATACAAAAGACTTGTGTAAAAATACTAAAACTATTATTCGCCTCAGGCTCTGTGATTATCGGGGAATATTCACTCGACTTCGTCTCGGCGAATATTCCCCGCTAATCACCTCGCCTTTGGCGAATAATTGTTAAATACTACATAAAATTACCTTGGCCAACTGGTGAAGTCTTCTGCGCATGTTTTCCATCTGTTCCAATTCACGATCATTTAACGCAGAAATAACTGGTGCACTGGTATCACCCTTCATATAAAACAAAACAATCGATTAGCCATTTCCCAATCGAGCAGAGGACTGGGTCTAGTTGATGTTTGGAGGGACAACAAGTTATAGTGAGCGAGCTAAATATATATTAAAAGATGCCTTATTATAATTGTTGCGTTTCAGGCTGCACAAATTACTTTAGGAATGTAGGAAAACTTCCTAGATGCCAATATTCGGCATATTGTTTTTTGTCCTTCCAAACAAGCGACTAGACCCAGTCCTCTGCTCGATTGGGAAATGGCTAATTGGACTCATTGCATGAAAAATGCATGGGTTGAAACTTTAAAGCGTAATAGAATACCCACCGGCGATGCTTGAAAAAGCTTAAAAAGTTCCAATTGAGGTGTAAGAAAATGACTCCATTCAATGATATCAATATCACTACGAAACAGAACAAGAAAAAAGCTATTATTAAGATTGGTTCTCGCTTTCTGATTGCGCAATTTTCTGTTCTGCCCTTCCTTTTCTAATGTCTATCTTCAACACGAGTAAAATCTCACAGCTTGTCAAGAAGGTTGTCAATCTGACTGCTTGTTCCCAGTTGTGAAAAGTCTGGAACAACTTGTTATCAACTTGTATTACATGGTTGATGAGGCCAACAGCATGAGTGGTTCTATCTAACAAGTCTAATATCGTCTACAGACTACACGTGACTTGTTATCAACTTGTATAACATGGTTGATGAGGCCAACAGCATGAGTGGTTCTATCTAACAAGTCTAATATCGTCTACAGACTACACGTAACAAATTGTTAACAAGGTGATAGTTAACAAGCTTGTAGCTACTTGTTGCTTGTATTAGTCTTGTTGGAACAACTTGTAGCGCAAGTCTGTTACCGTCATCAATCTTGCGACAAGGTGATGATAACAACTTGAATTAGAAAGCGCTGCCAAAAACTGTGGTCGCCTAACGCAATTGGATTGGTAATGAAATTGCAGAAAATTACCCGGATTTGTTGATATCAATCGTGTCAAAAATTTCGTCAGCTTCTGCTTCAGTTAAATGCATCTAATAAGTGAAAGATTAACTTCAAAATTAACAAAATCATCTGGCGTTAGAGTGGTTAGACGGAATAAAATAACGTAGGGTGAATTTGTCGCGTATTTGCAATGAAAAAGTTCAAAACTTAAAATCATTTTGGCGTTCCTCTCAAAATTACATTGTGTTAGCTTTATTTTGTAGTTAACACAGTTAGCAACCTTTTTAAATGTATCTGGCGGTTGAGAAACACAAAATAATAGTTAAATATTGTCAATTTAAATACAATTATCATTGACATTGATGCTGTAAAATTGACAATATAGTTATACTAACAGCAATATAAGCAAGAATTACTAAACTTCAGGCATCATTTTCTCTTTGGCGTACCATCAAAAATCTCTTCATTTTAGCATTAGTTTACAGATAAAGCACTAAAAATACTTTTTAAGTTTGTTCGCCGCTTGAGAAACGTATTGAAAAATAAAAATTTTGAATATAGTCATAACCAAGTGGGAAAATACATTCCTTTGAGAGCGTGTTACGGTAACATACAAAAGATTCTACTCTTAACAAGACACATGTATGGGCAGATTTATTCAGAGTGCCAGCACTCTCCCCTTGAGTAAAATTGTCTGGCGTTAGACAGAGTAAAATAATAACGTAGGGCGCATTTGAGCGCATTAAATGCCACTCGAAGGGTTAATATATACAGAGAGCAAGCGCAAAATGATGTTACGTTGGGAAACGGAACGTCTTCTTCTGAACATTAAAACAAATAAACCTTACTCCAAGCTTAAGGAGTCCTTCAAAGAAAGATGTCCTTGCAATTCTTCTGTTTATGATTCTTCCTTCAGCACACTGGCTGGCCATCTGATCAAAATGGTACTTGGTTTGGTAGAGGATTTCTGACAGCCTTAACTAAGAGTTAATATAAACGAAATATTAATATAATAGTTTACAGTCGAACCTGTATTTTGTAGTACAATATAATTCAGTGAATACAATCCTTCTGTGCTGAACCCTTTTTTGGGGGGTTTTAAACTATAAGTTTAAACTATAAGTTATATGAATTACCAGTAATTGAGGTCTTCCAAGAGCAGTCAGTTTTATGGCAGCAAATCCATTTTCACTGGCATAACCTATTAAAATTAGGGGAGTGACTCAATACACAATGCATTCTACACGAAGGTTTCTTAGTTTCTTTCAAGAAACGCCCTAATCGATGAATTTATTAGCAACAAATGGCAGGGACATCACAACAGTATAAAACAATTGTTGTGGGCCTGAGTCAGATTTACCTACTGCATCAATGCAATTCAAAAACGTTTCTAAATGAACATCACACTTGTGTTCGTCTTCATAGAAATACGTTCTTGCACTGATTACTTTCTTTCTCCTGTCTGCAAAATCTTTATTCAACTGGAACTGTTTTACCATGTCCTTGTTTACAGCTAAATAAATGGTTTAGTACAGTACAATCACACAATCGAATATAGCTTGTAAGGGATTCGTTTTTGGGGGTGGACCTCAGGATATGCAAGAACTTATGTGACAGGCTTGCAACATATTGGGTGTACCCTACAGAGGGGTGTTTTAGAGAGAGGGCTTATTGGGGAGGGGGCATATTAAACAGGGGGCTTAATCAAGACAGTAGTTATTGCAGAGAAAGAGGGGGGTTATTGGAGAGGAGGCTTATTGGAGAGGAGGCTTATTGGAGAGGAGGCTTATTGGAGAGGAGGCTTAATTGGAGAGGAGGCTTAATTGGAGAGGAGGCTTAATTGGAGAGGAGGCTTAATTGGAGAGGAGGCTTAATTGGAGAGGCTTAATTGGAGAGGAGGCTTATTGGAGAGGAGGCTTATTGGAGAGGAGGCTTATTGGAGAGGAGGCTTATTGGAGAGGAGGCTTATTGGAGAGGAGGCTTATTGAAGAAGGGTGGCTATCAGAGAGGGGGCTAAATGGAAAGGGGGGGAGATATTAGAGGGGACTATTGGAGTGGGGGAATTGTTGGAGATGAGGTCAGTTAATGCAGAGGGCTATATAAGATATAATTGTTGTTTGCAGAGGGTTTGACAGAGAGGGGGGACTTTATTAACAACTAACCAGGTTGAACTTTATTTTGACCTTCATTGTTGGAACCATTCCCATTACTAAAACACAAAAGTAAGACACAAAATTATGCAACCATTAGAAACATTTTCAAAGAATAAAACAGCAAACATATGAACATAATTATTTTCAATTTTACCATTTTTTTTCTTACCTAGTTTCATTTTCATTGATATCCTCTTCAACAGAGTAATCAAGTATCGCACCTACACCAAACTTCTGAAGTCTTGACACAACTGGCTTCAGAGCGACCTGATCTTCACCACCAACAAAATGACCATAAAACGTTGCCTTCATCACTCCATTAAATATCCTTTTCCCAAGAATTTTCTTTCCAAAGTTCATCAGCTACAAAAATTGTTTGTTTGGTGTTCATATAAACTGTTCAATTAAACTAATGTATCTATAAAGACCCAGCTAGCCGATTCCGCGACAGCAAAGTTCTTCGCGAGAAATTGTGTCTGTGAAATACAGATGGTTACACAATTGAGCAATTCTATTGAATTAATTGTCCCACTTTTTTTTTTGCAGTGAGTGGAATAATGACTTCTACTCAACAGTGAAGTGAAAAACACCATTGTCTGGAATAGCAGGCAATGAATGGGTTAAATTACTTGTCTACAGACAACATCATCCTCAGGCAAATTTAAATGTTTCATGTTGACAAAACAAGAAATAAACTTAACTTTTTACTACTATCTCTATGACCCTACTCTCAGTCATGCAACACTACAAGTTTTTCTTGTTTTGACCAAAATCCCAAGCACTTTTAAAAATAAAAAAACATTGGCAGTGCTAGGTTTCATTTCGATTATCACCTTCTGGTACAAGGTGGCACAGAAAATGGGCAACTGCAGAAATGTTGATACTTGTGAGAAGCAATTTTCTTCTTATTATTAAGCACAAGACTGGCAGCACATATATAATGAAACAGCAGTTTCTCTGTTAACTACGAGGTTAATGACACCACCTGCTGCACAATATAGTAGTTTATAATCTTTATATAAACATCCTCAATTTAACCTCCACAACAATTTCACAAACTGCATGCACCCTTGGTAACACAATAGCCCAGTACACAAAAATTCACTCATCTTTTACAGTAAATTGTGCAGCAGAATTCTAAGGTACTTTTCCTAAGCACTTAATAAGATTTAAAATTCTTAATTTTCTGATAATATGCTCAATAACCCAAACAAGTGCTAACCCCACTTCATAATTGCAAAGGTCAAATATTTTTTTAGAGTAACAATTAAGGCATCATGTTTCAGTATACAGTAGTAAACAGCAGATGGTTCTAGGTACATATTATGAGATAAAGATAGATTTTGGCTATTTTTATGTTGTTTTAGGCAATAAAATCATAAACCTAACCCAACCCAACCCTAACCTGGGGTTAACCAACATGCAAATTCAACCTGGAATCTCATGAACCCTCTGGGATGGTGGGTGAGTTTTGGTTAGGATAAAAAACCCCAGTTAATAGGTTTGATGTGAATTATAGGTATACAATTTTATTGCCTAAAACAGCATAAGAATACCCCAAACCCATCTTAGCCCAATCAAACTGCACCAGCCTGTACCCTGCATTTAAGCCCTCCACAGTAAACAAGATATTGTATATTTTGCCACAATATTAAATATTGAGTTTGTTTGGGATATCAGTTATCAGCTAAAATAATAAACTTCTCAGTTAAATTGTCTGCTGTCTGTAAAATATATTTGCAAGTTGCTTGTTCCAAATTGCTGTTTCTGCCGTTTGCCAGCTTTCACTTTAGCTATTTTGTTTGTCGTCAGTCAAAAATGCGGGCAAATGTCTGTAACGTTTAAGCATAATCAGTTATCCGTTTCAGACGCTCTAAATATAGCTATTAAACATTCACTGTTTAATAGTACAATAAATGTACATTTTTAAATAAAAAGTCAACTAAAACTGCAAGCTTTTCGCTTTAGTCCCAATTTTAAAGTTTATTTTTAACCCAAATCTCAGCCTTAACACTTCAAAACTATATTTATAACATCCAAACAATTCTAATGGTACTAATACAACATAATTGCAACATACCTTTAAATTGTTATCGACCAAAAAGTTGACGGAACATAATCTGAATACAAGCAAGGCTCGTAGAATTTCTCGCGTAGTTTTACTTCTATAAGCACTCCTCGTATCGTTAAACATAGCTGTATTTTGTTTGAGCTTCTCTTGTGCATCAACCGTTTGACAGCTCGCCGGTACGTCGTCAATCGTAGCTAAAGCTCTTCGCGACAGCTTATATGGATCCCCGAAAAGCCATTTAACTTGCAAAACCAACGATTTCGGTACGAATTTTCGATATCCGAACATCATTCTGATTTATAAAGACTTATGCTTGATACTTTCGAAGCATTTTAATCTTTTTAAGACGAAAACTTCGAAAACTTCGCAGTAAAGTTTGGCAGTATGAATTTCCTGTTATAATAATATTGTTAATATGCAACAATTGTGGTTAATTAGCATTATGACGTCAGCAATAAACTTCTGTTTATTAATGACGTAATTAATAAACCGTGACGACGTAATGATTTTATTCAAAAGACGTATCGATTACCCCACCCAAAAGAAAATCGCCGCTGTAGAAAGTTTTCTATTGAAGATTTGAAAAAAATTAAAATTGGGATCAACTTCACAGTAATCATGAAAAGTCAAGGGAGTTTTATTATTTTATTCGCAGGCTATTATTTTATTGGCTCGCACATGTTTACTTTGGTTCGCTTTTTGGGATCCCGTTACTGGATCTCCAAGGAGAACATAGCTTAGAACTGATACAGCTATCCAGTATAGGTCTACAATCTTTGCCACAAACTATGCGACATATATATTGTAAGTTTACATGATCGGGGAAGGTCTTGTTCCCTCCGTTTAATGTTGGCCCCACAAAAACCGATGTCTGTTCGCCAAACGCCCAACCTCGTTCCCAGGGCTTCAGTGTCTCGCCTCGTCCTCACACTGAAGCCCTGGGAACGAGGTTGCCAAACGCCAGTATTGAAACGGGTGAACGGGATGGAGTAAATGTTTATAAACAGGGGTGTAGAAGAGGGGAGGCTCAGCCCTTGTTAAAAATTTCATGCCGGTTTGGGGGGCTGAACTCCCAATATTTTTGCAGATTGCGTATTCTTATGCTGAAAATTCCTTTGCAACTGTAGTGTTAAAATGACGCAGTAATGTTAGTAATCTGTACTTGATTACTGACCTAATAGGTCATGTATGTGACTCCAAGACTCCAACATGAAATAGCTTCGGTATATCGGAATCTTCTATTTGAAGTTAAATGAAATAGCGTCGGTATATCGGAATCTTCTATTTGAAGTTAAGTCCTTTCTTCAAGAAACACTAATTGAAGAATACTGGAACTATAAATAAATACTGGAACTTTCTATATTTAACATCTTGCACCCCAACGTCTTATCACCCGGTTAACATTTCAGTTCTATATCACTGTGTATAAGTACATCTGAATAGATATAAAAACTAGAATGTCCTAATGCACATATCAACGGCCTGCCCTGGGGGTACACCCCCGGGACACCCCGGGACTTTGAAAAAACATGATTCTAATGCATTAATTCCCCCTCCCTCCCCCGGGAAATGTGTAAGTCAAACTGCCCTCCCCCTGGGGCTTAGAATAAAGTAGTTCATAATATAAATAGCATACAAACAATTAAAAATTCAGGGTATTAGCTAGCCAATATACTGTCCGTTTGATGGACTCTTCCCAATTGAAGTAGTTAAGGGGCTTTCCCAACTGGGTCTACTGGAAGATTTTCACTTATTCTGATAAGAAAGTGCATTGCATTTGATTTTATATTTATATTATATCAAAGAACGTTTTATTTACTTTCCATTAACTATTTTCTCAAAATATATCGCGTTTCATTCATATTGGGTGTGTATTCACTGAAATGAAATGTACAAAACAAAGTGACATCGGTGTGCATCCGTGTTCATTCACCGGAAATGAAATAGAAAAAAACAAGCCACTGTTGTTTGCATCTAAGAAGAAACACATTGGAAAAAACACTATTTATTCCTACACAAAGACTTTGATCGGTCAAAAATTTTTTTCCCAATTTACGTTTAACGGACAAAACTTTTTTTTTCTGGCTAACACCCTGAAATTCATACAAACTGGGGTATCACAATGGCACTCATGTATTCTGTATTTATTTATTCAAATTTTAGCAAGACCACTCAGGGTTCTCCTTATCAGGCGGTAACCGGTAAAATTTACCGTTTCCACGAGCACTGATTACCGCCTGGACAAGCCCAAGTTAAATATACGTTTGTGTACATTTGTTAAGAAATAATTAGTAATAAGGTGTGAGAAAATCCTTTATATAATAACTACAGTGAAACACGCAATTTTATTGGTCAATAGTCGTGCAGGATCAGGCTATCCTGCACGAGGAATTATAATGCCTTCGCGGGATTTTCAAAATGTCATAGTTTCACTGCAGTTATTTTATAAAACAATAACCAAATGGTTTTCCAAGCAGGATAGCGTGATCCATGCACTTGGGATGTTGCTCGACTTTTGGAAAAGTGTCAAAATACACTCGCCTGCAGCTCGAGTATTTTTACGCTTTCCGAAAGTCTCGCG